GGCGGGAGGTAGGCAGGAGCTGGGTCTCCGGGAGGGCCCTGGACTTCGGGTCCCAGCCTGCCTGCTCGCGGTCAGCCAGCCGAGCCAGTGCGCGCCTTGGTCTGCAACCGCCCGGCCCCAGCGGAGCCGGGCCAGCTCCAGCGCCCCCGAACGCCGGGGCGCCTGCAAACACCTGTTGGGATTCCTCAAGGTAGACTTCAGTTACGGGCTCCGGAGCTGGCTTTGATGTAGCCGCGGGCCTGCTCCCCCGGGGGGTGCCCCCCGGGGAGGGGTGATGCGGGACTGGGGGAGGTGCCCAGGCACCAGCCTGATTTCTTGGGGGATCGAAGGGACTTGGCATCCGGCCGTGGGGGCGTGGCTGTGGCAGATGGACCTCTCCTCCAAGTGTCCCCGTGGTCGGGACCCCACCTGCCACCTGGGCGCACCAGTGATGACCCCGCCGACGCGAGAGGACTTCCACCAGGGCCGGGCCGGGGATGGCACTTCGGTGCCTGATGATTCGGTTGAGCCCGTGTCTGGATTGCAGGCCCTCGGGTGGACGCCCCCTCATAGCGACGCAGGAGGACAGGGTCGAAGTGCCCGTGTGGGTTTCTGAGACTAACTTCAGAGGAGTAGAAAGCCCGTCTTCCTCCCGTGGTGGGGCTGGTGCTTTTGAACTGCTAACCTCGCCGTTAGCAGCCTGAGGAATGTACATTACGCCAATTCATATTTGGTTTATTACTGGGCCGGGCCGAGACACAAGTTAGCCGAATTCATTCATTTTGTTTACTTTTGGAGGGCAGTATTAAGCTTAACCTCGTCTCCCAAATGTTGGCTTGTTGGTGTCTTTAGTACAGGAGGGCGTCACCAAAGTTCATGGCAAAACGATCATGGAATTTTCCCACGAACTCTTGGAAGCCCGCTGGCAAATGTCACTGCGAAAGAAGATCATTGATTACCGATAGCCGAAGTTGCTCTTTCACTATAATGTCAGCTATTGTAGTGTGCCTGACGGTAGTGCTCTAAAAGGTGACATGTATTTGCCACAAAGAAATGTGGAGGGGCAAGTAGACTTAACCTTATCCCGTTAGTTGAGAAGGTCGATAGGCCTGCGACGACGGTGTGCTAACGTGGTCGTCGGGAGCCCCACAGGTATAGAGTAGGTTACCGATGGGCTGCTTCCAAAAGATCAGCCCTCTGGGGGGAAAGCTTAGGTCTCTGCACCTTACTGGGGGAGTTTCAGCCTCCGAAACCCACAGGGACAGTTCGACCCGCCCTGTAGGGTCACTGTGATTCAGAATCTACTCAGCGGCAGTCAGTTCGGTTGTTTGGTTTGGAATGCTGTCTTACCTCTCAAAAAAAAAAAACCAG